TCGTATGGTCGTTGAGTATACACTTCTCCTTTAATGTGTTCCATCCATAAGAATACTTTTTACATTTAAGCTCGAATATCCCAATCTTGATGGTTAGAGGAAAGAACAGCGCAGCTTTCAGCAATGTTTCTTGATACCCTCGTTTTTGAAAACCGTTGTAATGTGAGTCTCGCCTTATTTTTTTCTATTTGTCCACTTGTTTCGATTTTTGAAGAAAGTGACGAATATATGTTCTTGGGGTAGTTTTTTATTCAGACCATCTTCAAAAGAATTTTTCCTCTTGAGGGCTCAGTTCCTTGATCTGCGTGACAAACCTCCGAGCTCGCACACCACTATATTAACTTGACTAGGAGTCTGAAGAAACTGCTCGTTTTAAATTTAATGCTGAAATTGTAACGTGCGTTACAAATTAACCCGCACAAAAAAATCTTATTTGTTCCTTTTACGACTCAAATTTTAACATTTAATGCTTGATATTGTCCGACAAAAAAACCATAATATGCCTATATTCATTAACCAAAAAATATTCGAGACCAGTTAATGGGCAGTCGGGAATTCAGGGCTTTGACCTGATTTAAGTAGTCTTACTCAATAAACTTGAGTTTTTTAATCAGTTTTTTTTTTGATTCCACTTCCCCTTTTTTATAAACAGATAAAACCGATGAATCACTTCTCATTACATTACGAGCTCAAACTGTGCTCTGGATAATCGCACAATTTGGTGTCTGTATGATCCTAGATTCCAGAGGCATGAATTTAAACATATTAAAAAATTGTCAGAACAAACATAGAGAATGAAATAACAAAAGAAGAACAAAGGGAACGTCCTTGTTGTGAAATCTGCTTACAATTCACCGAATGCACAGTTTGGCCTCGTAATGAAAGATGTGCGTTTAATGAGCGTGTGCCAATGCGTTGTGTTTGCGTGTGCTTAGGTGGTTGTGTGTATGGGTGTTTGAGTTGTGTTTGCTTGCGTGTATGTGTGTGTGTCTGTGTGTGTGCGTGCTAGGCTGTAGCTTGAATTTTAATTAAATTAGTTGAAGAACCTAAAACAAAATTTGCTCTTTGACAGCAGCTTTCAAAGATTTTGATTTCACACAAACTATTTTGATCTATGCTGAACAAATTTCAAAAATAATTCTCCAAATTTTGAAAAAATTCAACCGTTTAAAAAACGGGATCAAATGAATATCTGATGTACTTTCATATCGATTCTTGGTTTTCAATACCATTTTTGTTGTTCCATTTTAATGGTTAAGTACTGAATTCTGCAAAAAAAGACTGAATTTTGAAATAAAAAGGACTGAATTCTGCAAAAAAGTTTTATTTAGCCTTGAGTGTTCTGGCTGCCAATTAAGGTCTACGGAATATGGTTTGGTTCCGAACCAAAAATGAAAAATTGAAAATGTTTTTGAGATTTATCTTTGGAAATCTTTCCCTACACACTTTGTAAAATACAAAATGTTATTAACCTTAAATTGCACAGAGTATTAAATAGAGCAAAAAGAATGCCTCAACTCTATTTGGAATGATTTCTAAGAGGAATTATTATCCGCTAAAGTTTTTATAGCAACTTGCTTTTTTAACCCCTATAACTTAAAAAATATCATAACATGTAGAATCCAATTTTCCAGTTGAGCTTAGGACAACAAAGTTTTTGAGAAAATTATTCAGTAAAACATCAAAGTTGTCTGGAAAAAGAAAAAATATTAGAGGACAAATATTTCGTCATTTTGCTCAAAACTCGAATCATTAATTACGTCTGTGTTCATTATATCTTTGCAAATTCTTGAGAAATTCAACTACACCTTAGTGATAGAATTTTTATAGACTAGTCAAATACTAGCGATTTGGCTCCATACAAAGAACCGCCGTTAAATCCGTGATCATTATATCCCTTGCACTTTGCTTGGTTTATTTGGGATTCTAAAATTTGCTTCTAAATTGAACCATGACTTGTTATTTTGATCAAAAAACAGGAAAAAACTATAAAATATGATTCGAAATTTTAAAGTCAACTTTCTTGGATCTTTGAAGTGTTTGTTTTTAGACAGATTAGAGCAAAATTTTATAATCAAAGTCAAATTTCATATGCAGTCAAGAATAGTTTACTGGAATTTCAAAAATAGATTACTGGAATTTGCAAATAACAATGGTATGTGCATCCAGAGTTACTTTTTTTCATGCAAGTATTTTTGGTTAACTTTTGTTCAAATGATGACATGGTCAAATTATTTAAGTTCAATTTTAAATTATCCGTGTATTGGCAGCTGCCGGCTTATTTGATTTTTATATTTTTTATGGTCTAGCATAAAAGCTTAGACAAATGTAGCTGCGGATAGATTTTACAATAAATTATAACATTGTTTTAGATAAAGCGCTTTGTTGTATAAAACAAATTTGCAACATGGTTGTGTATGAATGTTATACAAAACGCCAGGAAATGAGGGTAATTTCAGTAGCCAAAATCAAATCATTTTGTTATACAAATGTTAATCAATTCAGCATTTAGATGATGCTTCCAAATATTTTTTCAACGAAAAAATTTTGATGTAACCGTGAAAAAAGTACCTAAAAAATTTCAAAAGCGAAACCTGAATTTTCAGGATGGTCAAAACTTTCATAACTTGAAAAAGACTGCTAACATAAGTGCGAGGCCTTGATTGTTTTGCCAAACCTTTGACATCTGCTTAGTGGTCGGTTTTATAAGCTTGACGATTTTTTCAAATAAAAACTGAAAAAATCTTTATTACACGCTATTTTTTACCATAAAGATAAATTTAGTGCAAAATACCAAAACAATTAGAGCTAAATTTAATGATATATATACAATGAGGCGTTAAAAGCATGAAGTATATCGCGGGTTACTTATTCCAAATTGACCAAATTGGCGATTCTAAAACCCTCATAGCTTTGCGATAATTGGTCAGGATGGATTTTGCAAATAATTCAAGACCTTTGCAAATGATCCAAGACACAAGCTTTCAAAAAGAGAAAATTAAACGAGCCAATTGGAAAAACGCATTTTATTTACTTGTGATGAAAAAGATAAAAAGGCTTTTAAATGAACCTTTTTAAAAAAAAAAGAGTTGGGGAAAGTATCACTGTTACCTGGGCGTAAAAAAAAATTATTTTGTTTTGCTTTGTCAACAAGAAAGATAAAAGCTTATTTTGTAGCTGTTTTCACACATGGAAACTCTGTACATCAATTTACAACTGAAAAAAATCATCAAAATTAACTTCTGAGCAAAATGATAGCGTAACATATTTTGTTAGTGCTTTTCATTCCCGGATCGAGATTTTGCCAATTTTTTTTCTTGAGCGTTCAAATTCCTGAAATAAAATCTTTTCTCCATCCCCGGCGTTACGCATCAATAGATTGAATCATCATAGACAGAAAAAACTTCTCGGTTGCTAAGGGGACAGATAAAAAACAAGAGAGTTGCATTTAATTATTTATGCGCATGCTCCATGTAATAAGATGGCGACATTATGTAGCAATAAATAGTCGTTTTCCAACGTTAAATTTAGTTGGACACAAAATTTTCCTCGCTTGTTTTTAGAATAGTTAACAAAACCTGGCGAATTCAGTTTGTGCTCTGACCAGATAAAATAGTCATATTTCTTTGTGTCTTATGTCAACATACCAATTGGCCATTAAAAAAGTAAGTGATGAGTTTTCCATTTAAAATACAAATTAGCTGCTGTGACACTTAAATAAAGCTTGTTTTGCTAAAAAGCTCAGCGCATTTGTTAGTTTCTTTACGAAATTTCCTTTTGTAACCTATTTGTTAAATTTTAGACTACAAATAACAGCTTGTTACGTTTGCGTTCCAGAGAAATGAAACCTACAAAGTCGATTAACTACTCTTATACTTGCGTGCTTTGATTATTCAAGCGTATTATGATTAACATTAAAGGATGCCTTCTACTAAGCTTACGCAGCCTAGTACCACCAAAATCCCTTCATACTGATTTTGCAATTGTGGTCATTTAATAGGAAGCTTTAATGGGAAAAAGCCTCAACACATAGGTGAAACTCATATTTGTGAAACACAAAGAATCTCAGAGGAAGTGTAGAAGATTGGTTTCAAAGCGAAACTTTTTTTATCCACAATTCGATTCCACAAAACTCAAAAAAGATGTCACAGTTTCAAACTAAATTTCAATAAACTTTATAATAACACAATCAGAGATTGATCTGTCAGTGTAACTTTACTGCAACTTTCACATTAATTTTACGCAGCTATTATAGGGTGTTGTTTTTAATTGTTTTTTAACTTAATTCAATAGCTTTTACTTTGCTCAAAATCTACAAAAAAACAGGAGTTTCTTCTATTATTTTAGATTTTTCTATTTTTCTTATTCTTTATATTCAATTTTTGTGATCATGCACAACGACAGACTGCGTTTCTTCAACAAGGATATTTTTTAAGGAACAAGTATGCTCTGAAAAATTTCAAGTTTTGAACTGAGATTCATAAGACCTGAAAAAGTCAGGTTTCAAATCAATTTATCTACACTGTAAAAATTTTTGAAAATAGTATCAGTTTTAGCGTTTCGACGGAGGTTGAAGGAGTTTTTAAAATTATGACTGCGGTAAAACTAATTATGAGAAAATCAAATCAAAATGGCTCTTAAATTCTGTTTTCTACAGTGTTTATACAAAAATTAGGTGGTCTCTTTGCTACATAGCCTAGAACTAGTCCTTTTTGTTACTTCACAAATTAGATCATAATGCGCAATCAAAACAGGTTTTCATTTTAAGCGAGAGCTCAACTATTGGGTAATTTTCAGCCTTGAAACAGAAAAAAATTTATGGCTTCTAGGATTTGCACCAACTGCACAAAGTTCAGTGAGAATGGGAAATTCACCGAGCAATCATGTGACTGATTGGAGTATAAACAAGTGCACTTGCTGTGATCAGTCGTACTGGGTAGTATTTGAACGCAATTATTTCGCAAAGGGTGCTTGTCGATGGGCGTTCCGAGGTACATATTATGGCCAGGGAGAGCATGAGGGCCGCAAATGCGTCACCAAAGTTTTCCAAGTAAGTAATTTTAGGCTAGGAGGGATGCTGTTTGCACATAAGTATGTGGCAGCTACAAAAGTTTGTGTTATGGAAAACGAAATGCTATAAAATTTTTAGGGTTTTGAATTTAAAATTTATAATTTTTAAAAAAAATTACACAAGACGAAATACCAGTTTCGAGTTTCATCCAGAAGATCTACTGGTTCAATGACTTCATTGCCGAAAGTTCGAATGTATTCATGCATTTTGAAAAATCGACTTAAGCAGTGTACACTATTGGATTATTTTTTATGATTACTCTATCGAGCAGCGTGGTATATTAATACGAACCTATTTTTTTCTAACTGTCTTAATCTAATTTTCAAATAAAAGTTTTCATTAAAAGTTGACGTATTTGGTGGCACTTTGCTATCGATCTGTAGCATTGGAAATTTCATGGGATCTGTTATCTGCTTTTTTGTGGCTAGTGTTTGTTATTATTAAGCATTCGTGGCTGAGTGGTTGGTTCGTGAGACTCATAACCTCTAGTCTCGATCGGTCTAAAAGCCAATACAAGACGTAGCCGAACTCTTACAAATTCGATGTTATTTCTATGTTAAAACAAAAAAAGATTAAAATGTATTTCTATGTGTAATAATTTCGGCTAAGTTTGAATTACTTACTAATTGAATACTCTTCAGTGAACCGGCGCCTCATCTGGTATATCGAATTTTACATCTCAATTATATATTTTTTTCAAGTTTACTGGACGTTAAGCGTAAATATAATCATATAACTTCTGTTGCATAAGTTTTTGGAAAAATTATTTGGTTTCAACTTTAACTCAGTTGCCTTAGTTTTAGTTTTTTTTCAAATTGAAACGTACTATAAAATAAAAAGAAAAACTTATTTCTGCTTTAAGTCAACAACTGCCAAAAAGTACGACAACTGGGTGCCGGACATCAAAGCATCTGAACAAGCACAGAGAATGGCAAGAAGTTTCAACCAAGAGCATCCGACCAGTCGTCCCGTTCACTTCATAATACCTATTATCTGCAAGATGAAAGAAATTGGGTATAAAAAGGGCAAACTATTCAAGGACGAAGACAAGAGATACGTGAAGAAATTGGCACGAAACTCAAAATGCTTTCTGAATCAAACAAGTATACAAAATTTTGCTGCATTTTAACTAAATGTTTTTTTTAAACCGAATCTACTCTGCATAAGCAAATTAGAGAGTAACATTTAAGGATAAATTATCGGGGTTGGCAGATAAAATCAAAAAAAATATTTTTTTATCACGAAAAATTGGATTTTGTCAATTTTATAAATAAAAGTTGAAACTTTATATTGAAAAAAATTTGTCAAGTGAAACCAGGGAAGCTTGAATAAAGGACCGTTCACCTGAGTTTTGGTATAGAATACTATTGACTAATTTTTCTAACTCATGGGCAGTTTCAAATAAAATACAATTGTTTTTACAAATACGACAATAACAAAAAAATTCTGAAATTATTCCAAAAAAATTGTCAGTAAAATCAAATGGCGACAAAATTGCAGAGGGAAGCTTCAAAAAGTAGTTAAAAGAATAGACAAAAAACAAAATCTTTCGCTGGCAAAACAATAGTTTTTCAGTTATTCAAGTGAGTTGAATTAGGTATTTTGTTGGTATTTGTCAAGTTTTGATCACATATAGTAGTTCTCAGCATTTTGGAATCGAAAACTTCTCTAAAACAGGAATTGATTGCCGTGGAACCATTCTTGGAAGGCGAGTACAAAAAAATCAACTCGAACAACGGACTAGTCATGGAATTTTCTGAAGCGCTTGCAGCGTTTTCCCACTTCACTTTTATCGCATCGGGTGGACAGTTTGTCGTTTGCGACTTGCAAGGGGTCCAAAACTACGTTTCGAGTTAAAATATTTAAAGCATTCAAATCACAATGTATCTACTCAATTTTCAAGAAAAACTGTCAGATAAAAATCGATAGCTTAAAAGTTAACTTCAAGTGACAACAAAAATTAGAACAAAAGTGAACAAAGAAAATGCGTTGACTGCCGTTGAGTCACCATGTCGAAAAAAGAAACTTTGATAAAAATGTATCAAATTTATTCAAATTTATTAAAAAATTACAACTTTTACCCCTAAAAATATTGTGAAATCAATTCGAAACTTAGGTTCGCAATGAAGACAGCTACTATCTTACGGACCCTGCAATTTGCTCGCGCAGACAAGAATATGGAACAACGGATCTCGGAGTAACGGGTATGGCTCAGTTCTTTGATAGACACCAATGTAGTCAAATATGCAAATCCTTCGAAAGGCCGGATTTCGAAAACAGCTACATCGTTACGGGATTGCAGCCTAAAAGGGGCTCAAGCTACACCTTTGAACTGACTAAGGCTCATATAAAAGCGAATAAGGACTTCAAAGATAAAATTACTCTCCCTACTATTGGCGAATAAGCTCTCTTTTATATGAACATTTATAGATGTTTGACTAGTCCAAAGAAAACCGTAATGCCTAAAGTTGAATATAATTTTTCTTGACACCAATTTGAATATCATATCAAAAAAGGAGTGAAATAAATAAAAAAAGATCAAATCACTCTGTCCAAATTACCCAATTGAGCTATTTTTAAACCATCATCAACGGTTAATTATCTGTTGAACTTTCATTGCTGGGCATATATATTTTAAAGTATACTGAAGTCATAATTGTGAACTGCTGCTATTAACCAACCCGGGTTGAAGTTGCATTGCAACTCAGAAATATATCATTGCTATTGCATTGTTTTGACATGTTTCAGGGATGTGCCAGCACAAATACATATATTTACTCTGTTTTAACCATGTTAATTTTTTTATCCTTAATTTTTGAAATCATTGATGTGAAATCTATTTTATCAATGTTTAGATACATTGACGTGACATCAATGAAACATCTATGTCACATCCATATTTGAACGACCGAGTTTGATTTTGTACGAAATTTCGATTTGATTTCAAAGTTTTGCTACGTGTCGTTAAAGACAATTAAAATAGCCTTTCAGTATAGAAACTGCTAGAAACCACGAACACAAGATGTTTTTCTTACACACAGCTGAAAGTAATCTAAAACCCAGTTTTTTTTCTGCAAAAAAGTAGAAAAAGTTTTGGCCCTCTCCCCTAAGGGTGTGAAGAAACTAAGACGGGTCACCGGGCAAGTATATCAGGGCCTTGGTGTTTCACTGTATCTAAGTTTAGCCTTTTCGAAGCTGAATGTCACGAGTAGTATTGTATCGTGTCCCGGATCCTAAGGAGGGGGGGGGGGGGGGTCCTTCCTAAGGGGGGGGGGGGGTCCTCACGTAAAGCAAAATCCTAGGAAAGGGGTCCTCAATTTTTTGGAGGACCCTCATCCTAGGATTTTGTAAACGAAAGAGATTTTCCACCCAAAAAGCAGAAGACCCCCTACTTAGGATCTTGCTAAGTTTAGCTTAACAACAAGGGACACGATACAAAAATCTTTCTAATTCCAAATTTTGGGGTCCTAATTATTGGTCCTGATTAATTATATGAATCATATTAATTGTTATGTTTGTTTAGGGTAAATGAACTTTCGACCTAGTTGAAATTTGTTAGTGAACGGGGAATTGACTTTTATGGTATATAATAAAAATTCGCCGGCCATTTTGGCAGCGTAGCTTAACTGTTGGCAGCAGTAATTAATTCCTTAACTTGACCTAAATTTTATGGTGAAAAGGCAGTAAATTGAAATTACTCTCAAAAGGCGGCGGCCGTTTCTGGGCAAAATATACCAAATGATAAATTTGACAAATTTTGAAATAAGAAAAATGAAGTTAGAGGGAACTTGGTGTACTGAAGATATTGATAATGAACATTTACAATTAAGAGTGTTTTCAACCGCAGAAAAAAACTCATTTTTCAAATTTAGTAATGAACGCTACGTCGTCTTCCTCGAAAGGGCAAAGGAAATTTCAAAGAAAGAATACGAGTTAATTTTCAAAGAACAATTTTATTTGAGTGAGCTTCAACAAATCTCTTGGTGCATTTCTACAAAACAAAAGTATGGTACTGTGAGCGATTTGAATCTTGCTGATTATGAAAACGTATTCGACTATTCGTTTGATTTTACCTCAAAAAGGGTTGATAAAGACTTGGAGAGAAAAATCCGTCTATGTTTCAACAAGCTATCAAAATACAAAAAACTTCCGGTGGTTTATTTAATTATTTACCACCGTTATCTTAATGAGACTAAATGGTATTTGCAAGGTCACTTTTATTTCCACTGGCATTTACTAGAATGCTAGGCGAGAAATCAGTTGTGCGTGACGTGGAAGGCTTTCGTTACAAGAAAAACGCCTTTGTGGTTAAAGAATTAGCAATAACAACTTCAGACTACAGCGATCGACTCATTTTCCTACCTCCAGTGAATTTCAATATACTACCAAAGCTTCAACAAAAAGCTTACAACTGGTTAACAATTTATTTACACGGTCTCCATTGGGAAAACGGTGATTATCTTTATATAAACTTGAATCAAATACTTCAGAGTTTTGTGCTGAGAAATCCCGGTGCCGTTTTTTACGCTAAAGGAAAAGAAAAGACAGAATTTTTGGCCAAGTACTTGGACCGAAAGATTGAAAACCTAGATGATTTGGGCTGTCCTCGGGTTGAAAACTTATATTTTAAAAATTATCCAAGTTGCAATAAACATATTCCACATTACAACTCCAGGAATCATTGTGCCCTGAAGAAAACCAAGGTTTTTTATGATTGGTTGAAAAATGAACAACAGCGAGAGATCAGCGAAAGTGGAGACATACTCATCACCAAATTCAATGCTTTGTGCGTGGATGACTCCAGAGGGTGATATTAAAATTTCATTAACGAGAATAGAGCGTATTGATTGCAGTGGCCAAATTGTTCAGAGGAAGGAGCAAATAATATTTTCCGAAGAAGAGTTGTCTACGTTGAAGAGGTTTTTTCCAGTTATTGATCAATTTGTATACTTCCAGAGATTCAAGTTTATCAGAAATGTTAGCCAGCAAGCGAGGAGTATATCTTCCCGAACTAGTCTTAGTACCCAAACGTCAGCCAGGAGTTCAGATGGATCTAAACAGCAGTGAATTGCCAGATGAGATTAAGACGATTGTGAAAGAGGATACTGTGAAGAAAATAATGTACTACAAAAAAACTGCAAATATCCCAGCAAACTTTGTTTTAGAAATGCATGACATAAATGATAGAGATTTCACACGTTATGAAATTTTTTGCTGTTCTCAAAAGTAATTTAATTTTTTACAATCTTCATTCACAGAGAGAAAAAGTCTAACACAGTCTGTAGAATAAATAGTTTCTCAAATGTCAGAAGCAACAACAGCAGTAGATGAACCTGACGCAACATTAGTAACAGAGTTTGTTTATAACGAGACGAACAGTGAAAAAAAATCATGGAAGTTTTGTAACAATGTAACTTTGCCAAGGTCTGAAGTAGTTTTTGTTGCGCAAATGGTAGTAATTCTAATTTTACTAACCTTCTGCATTCTCAAACTTTCTTTCACTAAATTAAGTTGCGAAGAAACGTCAGTTTGGTTCTCGATTTTATCAGGCTTGGTTGGTTACGTACTACCAAATCCAAGAATATGAATAAAGTGATTGATACTTCGACAAGAATTTTTATGGCGATAGTGGGACCTTCAGGATCCGGGAAAACTGAGTTAATTTTGAAATTTCTGATGGGAAATACTTTTTACCCTAAATTTGGAACCGTTCTATATCTTTACAAAGAGATGCAACCTGCATTCTCAGTAAAAGTGTCTTCTCGCGAAGTGAATGTGGAGTTCATGAAATTCGACGGATTCGAATCTGTGAGAAAATTAGAAAATGTTCTTCTAGTTTTCGATGATTCATGTGAAGACATCTATAATGACAAGGAATTTGTTAGGTTAGCGACAGCGGGTAGACATAGAGGGATAGATGTAATTTATGTTAAGCATAACTTGTTTCAACAAAGTCGATGGTCGCGTACGATTGATTTGAACACTTCACACATCATTCTGTTCAAATCGCCTCGCGACGTTCAGCAACTAGATCTTTTAGGAAGACAATTGAATGTATCAAAATTTTTGAGAAACTGTTACGAATTAGCTACCAGAGACTCTTTTGGACATCTTCTAATCAACTTGGACCCCCGTACATCAGATTGTTTGAGATATTGTTGAAATATCACACCACCTGGGCCAACAGTTTTTTATTTACCCTTATCTGAAGCAGAAACTACTCCAATCACAAATGAAAAAGAAAAACTTATCTATTCTGCGGCATATGGTACAACTGAAACCTGACCAGCTAAGAAGATTAATTAGAAAAACTTCAAATCGTGAGATCATAACACTTATTTGTGAATGTTTGCTCAATGTAGTCAATGGAAACGTACCCGTTAAAATCGCAAACATCGAACGATTCGAGACAGCATACAAATACTTAATAACTCCAAAAACCAGTGTTGTCAAAAAACGTGCGATTATTTTGAGTAAAGAAGGCTTCCATTTAGTTCGACAAATACTTTATTTTTGTTTCAAGTACCTCACAACTTAATGATGACTGCTGAAGAATTCATTTTAATTCCGAAACACTTATATGTTAAAGAGCAGCCACATGCTGCACGTGTTCTTCATGATAATAATATTAAACATAAAAATGCTCAACTGTCCTATCTTAACCGGCTTAGACCCCAATTACCTCCACAGACTAGTAAGACTACTGCAACGAAGGAAACATTTACGGATAATGTTGAGCCCCAACAAGAACAGCTTAAACTGTTAACGGACGATGAAGAAGTACCGGTCGAACGTGTTAAAGACGAAATACTAGAAGAGAAACACAATAGACAGACCGAAAGCATTTTAGCACAGTTACAAGTTTTAGAAGACAAAAAATTTGTTAGAGCAAAAACCGTACTTGAAATCATAGAAAATTCAGAAAGAGTAACCATAAACCGTGACAATGAGGTGATATATGTAGATAAAGTACCAACAGGACTTAAAGCTACAATATTTTTATACGACATACAACAACCAACGAAAAAATTACACAATCCGGCGTTCATTAACATTTTAACTGCTCTCAACTTGAATGAAAACCTGGTAATAAATCGAAATGCCAAACACGCGGTTCAGTCAGCGCCTATTAACGCTCAAGAGAAACGAGAACCCGGACTCTCAAGAACCCGCTCAACGTCGCCCACTTGGCAGGAAAAAAGTAGTGCAAACCTTAAGAGAAGTAAAAAACACAAACGAAAAAGTCTCAGCGGTAATAGAAAAACCCAAAACCAAAAACGTGAAAAAGAGTCAGAAGAAGGCTCTGACTCATACGGAACGCCCCATAACGATTCAGATTCTCCAACGTCAGAAAAGACGAAGGCGCAAACAAAACAATGGGAAAATTACCAAGATTGAAGAAAAATTGTTGAAAACTAAATACAGTGACAAAGGTCCCGCGTTATTTGGTAGTGTGATCAACTTGATAAAAGCAAGCAATTTGTCGCGAAAGAAAGTTAAACATTTCCTTCATACTGAACCTGCTCACACGAAATATCGAACTGTGATCCGAAAAACGCCGCGACTCAAGGTCATAGTTTACGATATCGACGAAATCTGGTCATTAGATCTGGCCTTTGTTGATAAACTTGCCCAGTACAACCATGATGTTAAGTATCTGCTTGTTGCAGTTGACTGCATGTCCCGCTATCTCAGAATGCAACCCTTGAAATCAAAGTATGCTACTACAACAGCAGAAGCGTTCAAACTAATGATAACGACAAAACAACCGGAAAAAGTATGGGTGGACAAGGGCACAGAGTTTAAAGGGTCCTTCGAAGCATTATGTAAAAAGAAAGGCATAAACACATATAGCACAGAGAGCGAGAAAACGTCCGCATTCGCTGAGAGAAATATCCGTTCCTTGAAAAATCTTATTTATAAGTACTTGGAGGATAAATGGACTTACTCATACATTGACAAATTGCAAGATTTTGTCAATGCAATTATTTCGAGAACAAATCGTGTCACAAATCTTGCACCAAATAAAGTAACTAAAACAGATGTTCCTCGCCTGATTTCATTAAGAGCAGAACAGTCTTTGAAGTTAGTTTGACGTCCAAAGCTTTATGTTGGTGATTATGTTAGACTTGCCAAAGTAGACATACGTTTTCGCAAGGGTTACAAACAATCGTTCACCGATGAAGTGTTTGAAGTTTTTGACATACCAACACGAAATCCCCCAACATACAATTTGATTGATTCTAACAGAGAACCGATTGAGGGAAAATTTTACGAGTCTGAACTGATTCGCTTTCTGGAGAAGGACAATCATGACTGAGGGCACTTCCGACAGCCTTTTCACCCATAATGTTCCCCCTTCCTTCACAATTACCCTAGTTTCATCTGCATCAATGAACGTTTTTAAAGATAACACTCTGGCCAACTTCAAAAATCTCCTGAGTGAAGAAATAAATTTGCAAGGTGAATGGAGAGTAGCAGTTACAGAAATTACCTTCCCTACTCAGATAAACAACGTAACTGACAACAACATTGTGTACTACAAAAAAGATCGGGTTATAGCAAGCATGAAAGTTGAGAAAGACAAGATCTCCAGACCTTACCTTGGAGAAACAGCAAAAATAACAAAAGGAGAATATACGAGCATTGATCAAATACTGGACGAGATTCGTCGAAAGACAGAATTAGAGAAATTGGATTACGTAATAGATCCAATAACCAAACATCTTTCCTTATGGCTGCATTATTGGGAAGGTATAACTTTTTCAAGCCCGCAAATTCCTAGTCTACTTGGATTCAAAGGCGTCAGAGATGGAACTGGTTATCATATAGGTTACAAACAAGGAAGCACGAAACATAGCACATTCTCTACCCAAGATCTTATTGCTGACTATCCCGTTGATGTATGCGCTGGTACTCAGCTTATGTTTATTTATCTGGACATAATTCATTATCAAATAGTCGGAGACACAAAAGCACCCCTTTTACGAGTCATTGATACAAATCGTCGAGTGAAAAACGGTTACGCATGTACAATTGAACCGAATCATCGTAAAGTGTTTAGTAATTTGGATTTTAAAAAACTTTTGGTCAATAATATTTCCAATATTTCTGTGAACTTGCGCACAGAAACTGGAGGACTTGTTCCTTTCGCTGGAGGGGGAAAAGTTGTTCTGACTTTGAAATTTCAAAAGTTTAGCAATTGATCAAAATGGATTCATATTACCACAACCAAGCAAACCTACCACATTTCTCGGGGCATTATAGACAACGAGGCAGTGGCTTCGGTGCATTAGCGTTTCGACGGAGGTTGAAGGAGTTTTTAAAATTATGACTGCGGTAAAACTAATTATGAGAAAATCAAATCAAAATGGCTCTTAAATTCTGTTTTCTACAGTGTTTATACAAAAATTAGGTGGTCTCTTTGCTACATAGCCTAGAACTAGTCCTTTTTGTTACTTCACAAATTAGATCATAATGCGCAATCAAAACAGGTTTTCATTTTAAGCGAGAGCTCAACTATTGGGTAATTTTCAGCCTTGAAACAGAAAAAAATTTATGGTTTCTAGGATTTGCACCAACTGCACAAAGTTCAGTGAGAATGGGAAATTCACCGAGCAATCATGTGACTGATTGGAGTATAAACAAGTGCACTTGCTGTGATCAGTCGTACTGGGTAGTATTTGAACGCAATTATTTCGCAAAGGGTGCTTGTCGATGGGCGTTCCGAGGTACATATTATGGCCAGGGAGAGCATGAGGGCCGCAAATGCGTCACCAAAGTTTTCCAAGTAAGTAATTTTAGGCTAGGAGGGATGCTGTTTGCACATAAGTATGTGGCAGCTACAAAAGTTTGTGTTATGGAAAACGAAATGCTATAAAATTTTTAGGGTTTTGAATTTAAAATTTATAATTTTTAAAAAAATTACACAAGACGAAATACCAGTTTCGAGTTTCATCCAGAAGATCTACTGGTTCAATGACTTCATTGCCGAAAGTTCGAATGTATTCATGCATTTTGAAAAATCGACTTAAGCAGTGTACACTATTGGATTATTTTTTATGATTACTCTATCGAGCAGCGTGGTATATTAATACGAACCTATTTTTTTCTAACTGTCTTAATCTAATTTTCAAATAAAAGTTTTCATTAAAAGTTGACGTATTTGGTGGCACTTTGCTATCGATCTGTAGCATTGGAAATTTCATGGGATCTGTTATCTGCTTTTTTGTGGCTAGTGTTTGTTATTATTAAGCATTCGTGGCTGAGTGGTTGGTTCGTGAGACTCATAACCTCTAGTCTCGATCGGTCTAAAAGCCAATACAAGACGTAGCCGAACTCTTACAAATTCGATGTTATTTCTATGTTAAAACAAAAAAAGATTAAAATGTATTTCTATGTGTAATAATTTCGGCTAAGTTTGAATTACTTACTAATTGAATACTCTTCAGTGAACCGGCGCCTCATCTGGTATATCGAATTTTACATCTCAATTATATATTTTTTTCAAGTTTACTGGACGTTAAGCGTAAATATAATCATATAACTTCTGTTGCATAAGTTTTTGGAAAAATTATTTGGTTTCAACTTTAACTCAGTTGCCTTAGTTTTAGTTTTTTTTCAAATTGAAACGTACTATAAAATAAAAAGAAAAACTTATTTCTGCTTTAAGTCAACAACTGCCAAAAAGTACGACAACTGGGTGCCGGACATCAAAGCATCTGAACAAGCACAGAGAATGGCAAGAAGTTTCAACCAAGAGCATCCGACCAGTCGTCCCGTTCACTTCATAATACCTATTATCTGCAAGATGAAAGAAATTGGGTATAAAAAGGGCAAACTATTCAAGGACGAAGACAAGAGATACGTGAAGAAATTGGCACGAAACTCAAAATGCTTTCTGAATCAAACAAGTATACAAAATTTTGCTGCATTTTAACTAAATGTTTTTTTTTAAACCGAATCTACTCTGCATAAGCAAATTAGAGAGTAACATTTAAGGATAAATTATCGGGGTTGGCAGATAAAATCAAAAAAAAATATTTTTTTATCACGAAAAATTGGATTCTATACCTGAGTTTTGGTATAGAATACTATTGACTAATTTTTCTAACTCATGGGCAGTTTCAAATAAAATACAATTGTTTTTACAAATACGACAATAACAAAAAAATTCTGAAATTATTCCAAAAAAATTGTCAGTAAAATCAAATGGCGACAAAATTGCAGAGGGAAGCTTCAAAAAGTAGTTAAAAGAATAGACAAAAAACAAAATCTTTCGCTGGCAAAACAATAGTTTTTCAGTTATTCAAGTGAGTTGAATTAGGTATTTTGTTGGTATTTGTCAAGTTTTGATCACATAGAGTAGTTCTCAGCTTTTTGGAATCGAAAACTTCTCTAAAACAGGAATTGATTGCCGTGGAACCATTCTTGGAAGGCGAGTACAAAAAAATCAACTCGAACAACGGACTAGTCATGGAATTTTCTGAAGCGCTTGCAGCGTTTTCCCACTTCACTTTTATCGCATCGGGTGGACAGTTTGTCGTTTGCGACTTGCAAGGGGTCCAAAACTACGTTTCGAGTTAAAATATTTAAAGCATTCAAATCACAATGTATCTACTCAATTTTCAAGAAAAACTGTCAGATAAAAATCGATAGCTTAAAAGTTAACTTCAAGTGACAACAAAAATTAGAACAAAAGTGAACAAAGAAAATGCGTTGACTGCCGTTGAGTCACCATGTCGAAAAAAGAAACTTTGATAAAAATGTATCAAATTTATTCAAATTTATTAAAAAATTACAACTTTTACCCCTAAAAATATTGTGAAATCAATTCGAAACTTAGGTTCGCAATGAAGACAGCTACTATCTTACGGACCCTGCAATTTGCTCGCGCAGACAAGAATATGGAACAACGGATCTCGGAGTAACGGGTATGGCTCAGTTCTTTGATAGACACCAATGTAGTCAAATATGCAAATCCTTCGAAAGGCCGGATTTCGAAAACAGCTACATCGTTACGGGATTGCAGCCTAAAAGGGGCTCAAGCTACACCTTTGAACTGACTAAGGCTCATATAAAAGCGAATAAGGACTTCAAAGATAAAATTACTCTCCCTACTATTGGCGAATAAGCTCTCTTTTATATGAACTTTTATAGATGTTTGACTAGTCCAAAGAAAACCGTAATGCCTAAAGTTGAATATAATTTTTCTTGACACCAATTTGAATATCATATCAAAAAAGGAGTGAAATAAATAAAAAAAGATCAAATCACGCTGTCCAAATTACCCAATTGAGCTATTTTTAAACCATCATCAACGGTTAATTATCTGTTGAACTTTCATTGCTGGGCATATATATTTTAAAGTATACTGAAGTCATAATTGTGAACTGCTGCTATTAACCAACCCGGGTTGAAGTTGCATTGCAACTCAGAAATATATCATTGCTATTGCATTGTTTTGACATGTTTCAGGGATGTGCCAGCACAAATACATATATTTACTCTGTTTTAACCATGTTAATTTTTTTATCCTTAATTTTTGAAATCATTGATGTGAAATCTATTTTATCAATGTTTAGATACATTGACGTGACATCAATGAAACATCTATGTCACATCCATATTTGAACGACCGAGTTTGATTTTGTACGAAATTTCGATTTGATTTCAAAGTTTTGCTACGTGTCGTTAAAGACAATTAAAATAGCCTTTCAGTATAGAAACTGCTAGAAACCACGAACACAAGATGTTTTTCTTACACACAGCTGAAAGTAATCTAAAACCCAGTTTTTTTTCTGCAAAAAAGTAGAAAAAGTTTTGGCCCTCTCCCCTAAGGGTGTGAAGAAACTAAGACGGGTCACCGGGCAAGTATATCAGGGCCTTGGTGTTTCACTGTATCTAAGTTTAGCCTTTTCGAAGCTGAATGTCACGAGTAGTATTGTATCGTGTCCCGGATCCTAAGGAGGGGGGGGGGGGGTCCTTCCTAAGGGGGGGGGGGGGTCCTCACGTAAAGCAAAATCCTAGGAAAGGGGTCCTTAATTTTTTGGAGGACCCTCATCCTAGGATTTTGTAAACGAAAGAGATTTTCCACCCAAAAAGCAGAAGACCCCTTACTTAGGATCTTGCTAAGTTTAGCTTAACAACAAGGGACACGATACAAAAATCTTTCTAATTCCAAATTTTGGGGTCCTAATTATTGGTCCTGATTAATTATATGAATCATATTAATTGTTATGTTTGTTTAGGGTAAATGAACTTTCGACCTAGTTGAAATTTGTTAGTGAACGGGGAATTGACTTTTATGGTATATAATAAAAATTCGCCGGCCATTTTGGCAGCGTAGCTTAACTGTTGGCAGCAGTAATTAATTCCTTAACTTGACCTAAATTTTATGGTGAAAAGGCAGTAAATTGAAATTACTCTCAAAAGGCGGCGGCCGTTTCTGGGCAAAATATACCAAATGATAAATTTGACAAATTTTGAAATAAGAAAAATGAAGTTAGAGGGAACTTGGTTTACTGAAGATATTGATAATGAACATTTACAATTAAGACTGTTTTCAACCGCAGAAAAAAACTCATTTTTCAAATTTAGTAATGAACGCTACGTCGTCTTCCTCGAAAGGGCAAAGGAAATTTCAAAGAAAGAATACGAGTTAATCTTCAAAGAACAATTTTATTTGAGTGAGCTTCAACAAATCTCTTGGTGCATTTCTACAAAACAAAAGTATGGTACTGTGAGCGATTTGAATCTTGCTGATTATGAAAACGTATTCGACTATTCGTTTGATTTTACCTCAAAAAGGGTTGATAAAGACTTGGAGAGAAAAATCCGTCTATGTTTCAACAAGCTATCAAAATACAAAAAACTTCCGGTGGTTTATTTAATTATTTACCACCGTTATCTTAATGAGACTAAATGGTATTTGCAAGGTCACTTTTATTTCCACTGGCTTGAAATTCAGCAGGTTGGAGAGGTGTTGGAAAAAATAAATAATGAAATTGCAAAAAAGCAGAGTAACTCCTATTGATTTGAAAATAATTCACGAAATTTATACGTCTTTGAAACAAACTTATCCTGATAATTCTAACCGACGCAACTATTTTCTAGCTGCATGTTCTCTGTTTTTTGTTAGTTCTGATAACCTTAACTACGACATTTTAATTAAGTTGAGACCTTATGGTGGCTTGATTGGTATTGATAACTCTTCCTTGGACAAATACTTGAAAAATTCCAAAATTTTACGATTGCATGCTATTTTGCACGATGCGGCCGGATTTATACACGAATTTTATCAACAGGGTCCCACGTACTGTTACATGTTACCCTGGAACTGTAACAACAGCTTATTGGGACATTTGAGTGGAATAGCGTTCTGCCTTTTCATTAAGTTGAAAAAACCAGAAGTTTATAATTTACTAGAATGCTAGGCGAGAAATCAGTTGTGCGTGACGTGGAAGGCTTTCGTTACAAGAAAAACGCCTTTGTGGTTAAAGAATTAGCAATAACAACTTCAGACTACAGCGATCGACTCATTTTCCTACCTCCAGTGAATTTCAATATACTACCAAAGCTTCAACAAAAAGCTTACAACTGGTTAACAATTTATTTACACGGTCTCCATTGGGAAAACGGTGATTATCTTTATATAAACTTGAATCAAATACTTCAGAGTTTTGTGCTGAGAAATCCCGGTGCCGTTTTTTACGCTAAAGGAAAAGAAAAGACAGAATTTTTGGCCAAGTACTTGGACCGAAAGATTGAAAACCTAGATGATTTGGGCTGTCCTCGGGTTGAAAACTTATATTTTAAAAATTATCCAAGTTGCAATAAACATATTCCACATTACAACTCCAGGAATCATTGTGCCCTGAAGAAAACCAAGGTTTTTTATGATTGGTTGAAAAATGAACAACAGCGAGAGATCAGCGAAAGTGGAGACATACTCATCACCAAATTCAATGCTTTGTGCGTGGATGACTCCAGAGGGTGATATTAAAATTTCATTAACGAGAATAGAGCGTATTGATTGCAGTGGCCAAATTGTTCAGAGGAAGGAGCAAATAATATTTTCCGAAGAAGAGTTGTCTACGTTGAAGAGGTTTTTTCCAGTTATTGATCAATTTGTATACTTCCAGAGATTCAAGTTTATCAGAAATGTTAGCCAGCAAGCGAGGAGTATATCTTCCCGAACTAGTCTTAGTACCCAAACGTCAGCCAGGAGTTCAGATGGATCTAAACAGCAGTGAATTGCCAGATGAGATTAAGACGATTGTGAAAGAGGATACTGTGAAGAAAATAATGTACTACAAAAAAACTGCAAATATCCCAGCAAACTTTGTTTTAGAAATGCATGACATAAATGATAGAGATTTCACACGTTATGAAATTTTTTGCTGTTCTCAAAAGTAATTTAATTTTTTACAATCTTCATTCACAGAGAGAAAAAGTCTAACACAGTCTGTAGAATAAATAGTTTCTCAAATGTCAGAAGCAACAACAGCAGTAGATGAACCTGACGCAACATTAGTAACAGAGTTTGTTTATAACGAGACGAACAGTGAAAAAAAATCATGGAAGTTTTGTAACAATGTAACTTTGCCAAGGTCTGAAGTAGTTTTTGTTGCGCAAATGGTAGTAATTCTAATTTTACTAACCTTCTGCATTCTCAAACTTTCTTTCACTAAATTAAGTTGCGAAGAAACGTCAGTTTGGTTCTCGATTTTATCAGGCTTGGTTGGTTACGTACTACCAAATCCAAGAATATGAATAAAGTGATTGATACTTCGACAAGAATTTTTATGGCGATAGTGGGACCTTCAGGATCCGGGAAAACTGAGTTAATTTTGAAATTTCTGATGGGAAATACTTTTTACCCTAAATTTGGAACCGTTCTATATCTTTACAAAGAGATGCAACCTGCATTCTCAGTAAAAGTGTCTTCTCGCGAAGTGAATGTGGAGTTCATGAAATTCGACGGATTCGAATCTGTGAGAAAATTAGAAAATGTTCTTCTAGTTTTCGATGATTCATGTGAAGACATCTATAATGACAAGGAATTTGTTAGGTTAGCGACAGCGGGTAGACATAGAGGGATAGATGTAATTTATGTTAAGCATAACTTGTTTCAACAAAGTCGATGGTCGCGTACGATTGATTTGAACACTTCACACATCATTCTGTTCAAATCGCCTCGCGACGTTCAGCAACTAGATCTTTTAGGAAGACAATTGAATGTATCAAAATTTTTGAGAAACTGTTACGAATTAGCTACCAGAGACTCTTTTGGACATCTTCTAATCAACTTGGACCCCCGTACATCAGATTGTTTGAGATATTGTTCAAATATCACACCACCTGGGCCAACAGTTTTTTATTTACCCTTATCTGAAGCAGAAACTACTCCAATCACAAATGAAAAAGAAAAACTTATCTATTCTGCGGCATATGGTACAACTGAAACCTGACCAGCTAAGAAGATTAATTAGAAAAACTTCAAATCGTGAGATCATAACACTTATTTGTGAATGTTTGCTCAATGTAGTCAATGGAAACGTACCCGTTAAAATCGCAAACATCGA